GGAAGTGGCGCTGTGGCTCAAGTGGTAGAGTGCTAGCCTTGAGCTGAAGAGCTGAGGGACAGCGCCCAGGCCCAGAGTTCAGGCCCCACAACTGGACCCAAAAAATTAAAAAAAGAAAAAAAAAGAAAATCGACTCCCCCACTTAGTGGCCCATGATCATAACCAAACTACTTGTTACCAGTTTCCTAATCTGTAGGAGGGAGTACTGGCTCTCACCTATTTGTTATGAGGACTAGTTAATATTCATACAATACTTAATGCATGGCATGAAGTAAATTCTCAGTTAATGCTCACAACAATTCTACTACAAGTTCTCATGTTTGACTTAATAGATGAAGAAATTGTAACATGGAAAAACTGAACAATTTATTTAAAGTCACAAAAGAAATAGCAAAGGAAAAAATTTAACTCAGGTATACAAGAGGCTAGGTTTTTTTCATTGTATGTTACCCCTATCTCTACTGGAACAGGCCCTTGAGTAAACCTGACAGAAATTAATGTTAGGACTGAGGTTGTAGTTCAGTGTAGTCCCAGTCTACTTATCTCAGGTGTTCCAGCCCAGTAGGGGTGGGGATGTTGAGCAAGGGTGAAAAGGGGAGGGAAGGTAGATGTTTCTATAGCACTATTAAAATGTAGTGACCTTTTCAGTAGCAGAGTAGAGAAACCTGTAGTGAAAATAATGCTTTGATTTTTTTTTTTCTAACTCTCTTCCTTCCCTCAATTTCTCTAAGTTACTTTAGCCAAACACCTGAATTATCATCCGCCATTCCCATCTCTGTTTGTCGGGTATGGGGCTTGAACTCTGGCCCTAGGCCAGCTCTTCAGCGCAAGGTGAGTGCTCTACCACTTGAGCCACAGTGCCACTTTCAGTTTTCTGGTAGTTTATTGTAAATAAGAGTCTCACAGACTTTCCTGCCCAGCTGGCTTTGAACCATGAGCCTCAGATCTCAGCCTCCTGAGTAGCCAGGATTACAGGTGTGAGCCACCAGTGCCCAGCTCTATCTTTTTTTCCCCCAGAGCTGAGGACCAAACTCATGGCCTTAGCACTTGCCAGCCAAGTGCTCCCGAACTCCTCCTATCTTTTATTTCCCATATCAGCCTATCAGAAGGACTCACAGGTTCTACATGTAAAACTTACCCTGAATAAACCTACTCTCCCCTCAGCACTCCCAGTCCCGCTACCTCACCCAGACCACTCTACTTTTCTCCTAGTTGGTATACCGGCTTCCTCTATTATCCTTTCATTTTATAGGTGGTAACGAAGTTTAAATCACGAGTAGTCTCCAAGCCTTAGTACTTCAATGGCTTCTCAGTACATATAATGCTTTATATGATCCTTTCTTGGACACAATTTATTTTTCTTCCTTTGGTTATTCTACTCCAACCTCATATGCCACCTGGGCTTCAATTCCTCAGTCATGTTCCTTTTGTGTGTCTCATGTACTTGCTGTTTCCCAGAGCACTCTTCCCTCAAATCTGCACATGGCTGGTTTCTGATGGTTCAAGTCTCAGCTATGAGAAGCTTACCTAGACCACTCAATCTAAAATACACACCTCAGCCAGCCCCCAGTGGCTCCTGACTTGATTCTAGCTGAGATCAGGAAGCTGAGAACTGAGGATCATGGTTTGAAGGCAATCCCCGTAGGGAAGTCTGTGAGATTCTAATCTCCAATAAACTACTCAGAAAAGGCCGTAAGTGGCACTGTGGCTCAAGTGGCAGAGCACCAGCCTTGAGCAAAAGAAGCTCAGGGACATCACCCAAGCCCAGAGGTTCAAGCCCCAGAACCAACAACAAAATAAATAAAAATAAAGTACACACCTCCATGCTATCACATTTTGTTTATGGGACTTTTCCTGAAACTTTTCTTTTTTTTTGGTAGGTGGTGGGGTTTGAACTCTGGGCCTAGGGCACTGTCCCCCAGCTCTTCAGCTCAGATGAATGCTCTACCACTTGAGCCACAGCGCCACTTCCAGTTTTCTGGTGGTTTATTGAAGATAAGAGTCTCCCGGACTTTCCCGCCTGGGCTGGCTTTGAACCACAATCCTCAGCTCTCAGCTTCCTGAGTAACTAGGATTTGTAATCTGGTGGCCTGAGCCACTGACACCTGGCTCAACTTAGCTTATTTATACTAAAGGTAAGAAGTTTTGCTGATAGTGCCTGGCATACATGTGATGTTTAATAGAGAACTGAATAGGGTTGGTAGTTCAGAGAAAGCAAAACTCTTAACTGGGCACTGGTGGCTTATACCTGTAATCTTAGCTACTCAGGAGGATCAAATTCAAAGCCGGCCCGGGCAGGAAAGTCCTTGAGACTCTTATCTCCAATTAACTATCAGAAACCTAGAAGTGGCACTGTGGCTCAAAGTGGTAGAGTGCTAACCTTGAGCAAAAGAACTCAAAGCAGCACCCACAACCTGAGTTCAAGCTCCACAACTGGCTTAAAATAAAAAAAAGAAAAAGCCAAATTCTTTAATTCTTAAGAGATAAGATATTACACAAGTGAATTCATAACTCACATTTTTGGTCCACCTCTTCACCCCATCATAACCCTTGGTACGCAGTTTATCATAGAAGAAACTGTTGAAGAAATGTACCTGTACCAATAACACAAAAGAGCTGGATAGAATTAAAACATCTTGAAGCTTCCCAGTAAGTTCCCCACCACAAACATTCTTATTTCATATGCCTAAGTCTAATTAACTGATATTAAAATTGTTTTTAACTTCTTACAGATATTTGTTTTTAACTTCTTCCTATCCCCATTCTTGGGCTAACTATAGGGAAAAATACAAAAAACTTCTGGAAGGAAGATACTAAGTTCAGAGCCAACTTTACAGATTTGAAATTAATAGATTACTATTCACTACCTCCCCAGAGATCCTACTTAATATATGAAATGGAAGAGATGAAAAAGACCAAAAAGAATTGCTTAAAATCAACTGCAAAAACGTTTTTAGGAACTAAAGAATCTGGTAGAGGCTAGCCACCAGTGCTTCAGCCCTAATAAACCTAACTAATTGGGAGGTAGAGTTTGAATAATTAAGATGGGGTACAGGGATAGTGAAGAGTAGTTCTTGAGACCCCCATATCAATAGAAAAGGCTGGTTGTGCGGAAGTGGCGCTGTAGCTCAAGTGGTAGAGCGCTAGCCTTGAGCTGAAGAGCTGAGGGACAGCGCCCAGGCCGAGTTCAAGCCCCACGACCAACAAAAAAAAAGAAAAGAAAAGGCTGGTTGTGGTGATATATATTTCTCGTCCTAGCTATGACAGGAAGCATAACTAGGATGATGGTCCAGGCCAGCCCATACCAAAAAAACAGCAAACTCTTTTATCTTTTAAAAACAAATAAGCCAGGCGCCGGTGGTTCGTGCCTGTAATCCTAACTACTCAGGGGGCTGAGATCTGAGGATCACGGTTCAAAGCCAGCCCGGGCAGTAAAGTCAGACTCTTAGCTCCAATAAACCACTAGAAAACCAGAAGTGGTGCTGTGGCTCAAGCCATAGAGCACTGGCCTTGAGCACAGGGACAGCGCCCAGAGTTCAAGCCCCACGACCAACAAAAAAACAAACGAACAAACCAGGGCTAGATACATGGCTCAAGCAGTAGAATACTTGGCTAGCAAGCGTGAAGCTCTGAGTTCAAGTCCCAGTACCACCAAAGAAAAAAGGAATCTGGTTGAACGTACCTTTTCAGGGACCGTGTCCATGACCAGGTCTCCATACATGTTCATCACCTGGGGTGAAGATGGGAGGCAACTTGCCATGGAGGGTGTGGCACAAGAACAGGGCTCCCCCATGCAGAGGACCCCAGAAACCCTACTCCCTGAATCCCCTCTTAGGTCTATTTATCTGCTTCCTCTCACCTGGTCATTGAGCCAGTTCTGTCCATACAAGGTCCCCAAGTCATCCATAGTCAGCACATGCCGCTTATAGGACACTCGAAAGCCCCTCACCATGGCATTGCCTGGCATCCGCTGGTATGACTGGATCAGCTGCAGTACCAGGCCCTTCCTGAATAGGCCAAAAGTGGAATCAAACAAGAGATAACAGAATTGGCACATACAGAAATAACTATGATTTAATCCCACCACTCAGAAGGCTCAGTGAGGCAAGGAGGTCTCCAGTCCAAGGCCACCTTGAGTTACATAGCAAGCTCCAGACCAGCTTCAGCTACATAACAAAGGCTGTCTCACAGAGCAAAACACCAAGGGCTGGGAATGTGGCTTAGTGGTAGAGTGCTTACCTAGCATGCATGAAACCATGGGTTCAATTCCTTAGTATTCACATATACAGAAAAAACCTTGAGCACTAGCCTTGAGCAAAAGCAGCTCAGGAATAGTGTCCCAGGCCCTGAGTAAGCCCCAGGACTAGGGGAAAAAAAAAAAAAAAACTACCACCAAAACCAGAAATATCCACTAACTCTGAGAATCTAAAATGAATTTTCCTTCCTTTATTATAGAAGTCCTTTTGAGGATTAGCTAAAAGCTCACACAAAGCCGGGCACTGGTGGCTCATGCCTGTAATCCTAGCTACTCAGGAGGCTGAGATCTGAGGATCGCGGTTCAAAGCCAGCCCGGGCAGGAGAGACCTATCTCCAATAAACCACCAGAAAAACCGGAAGTGGCGCTGTAGCTCAAGTGGTAGAGCGCTCGCCTTGAGCTGAAGAGCTGAAGGACAGCGCCCAGGCCCAGAGTTCAAGCCGCACGACCGAAAAAAAAAAAAAAAAAAAAAGCT